AAGGCGGACTTAATGCTAGTAGCATACTCCACTAATCGACCTTTGGGATGAACAATGAATTACGAACGCAATACTTCATTATAGGGATAGGTAAAGAAAATAGCAACTAATATCAGAGAGAGACTTTGTACAAAAGTCGATTGCTTAGGTACCTCTGTCCCATTCGTGTTTCAACCGTGAAGCAGTTGTGTTTGCATGGCTGTGTTTCGGTTTGAAGGGTGGGATATGGCGTGAATTTACTGGGTACAGAGGAATAACATCTGAGTCCTCAGGAATGGCAGCGTAAGGGGGGTATCATGGGCGAAACAGTATACTCTGTTATGTCCATGGTACTGCTCATGTCTATAGGCGACGGTTACCACTTTCCATCAGGTGGGCCGTTAGCTTGTTTGCCATTCTAAGTTGTATAAAAAATAAAAAAATAAAAATGTATACCTATAAAAATACATACATAAATATAAAGAAATATGCATATGTACCTAAACAACTAAATAGATATATAAAATATAAATAAAAAAGTATAAACGCTGATGATTAACTACTATTGTTGTAATGACTTCATAAGTTAAGAGATAATAACAAAGAAAATTATTGGACAGATGTCGATGGAAATTGTTGGACAATATTTTTTATTTTTCATTTTTTAACACGACAAGAATGGAAATTGCTGGTTTGATTTCAATGTATAAAATAAAAGCCATCAACGTGTCTTTCATACTGTATTAAATCTTTTTTGTGAATCAAAATGTACTTTTATATGCAGTTGACTGTTTTTTTAATACAATATTCTTGTATACTGTGTATTTAGGGCTAGACATTCAACATTGAAGTTTCCGCGGTAGACAAATAGGACCGCTATCAATAATCAAGATCAACCCTTGGGAGAAACGAACCTCTTATAACAAAGACCCAGTTGGAACACAATAGGAAAGTAATTTTTTATTGTTTCTTGATGAATTTCATTCTTGGAATCTAAGTAAAATATATTATTAAAAAAACTTTTTCCTCTATTAAATATTAATGAAATAAAATACAGATATGCATAAGTTAACAATAAATAACTAAGAGTAAATACCTATGTATAATAAATAGGTTTATACGTAAAAACTCTTCCTTTCTCGTGGGCGTCGTAAAAGGCGACTCAGGGAACTTAGTGGTCAAGGAATGGGCAGCAACGCCCCACTTAAAACATCACCAAAGTCTCACTGCGATTGTCAATCCGTCTGTTAAGCGTGAAAACCTTTGACAAACCCCCCCCCAAATAGGGGGAGGCCTATGTTTTTTTTAAGAGACGCCACAATTGACGCTCGCGTCGCCACGCCGCGAGACTCCGGTCTCGGACTCGGAGCCGCCGCGAGAGTGACGGCTGAAGGGGGAGGCCTATGTTCAGCAGTGGACAGTTAACGGATGATAAGAGGATATGAAAATTTCGCACTTTTCTCTGCTTACTCCTTAAGAACAATGGCGGGTAAATTGTTAAAAAATTTAATGCAAACAATTAACTTAATTCTACTTCTTAAGGGTGGACAACATATAGAAACATACAATATACACAGTTACAATATCTATGCATATATTGGGCCAATAACAGATATATTAAATATTGGTTATCCAATATATAAATAAATACTAATGAATAAATAAATATAATATTAATAGTAGCTGTTAATAATTTATCTATTATCTATACTTGATGCTTTGAAAAGCTAACAACAATCTTGCAAATGAGAAATAAACGTTTAAAAAACGAACACAATGACTGCGATTTGCAACATAGACGATCCATTAACCTTTTTATAACATAACAACAGCAGTATTCAGTTTACAGTGTAACGCTACGTTGTAAAATGTTTTTTTTTCCCCTTACATTAACTTGATTAGTTAGTAACGAAATGGACAGTATTAAGTTAGTAGCTATCCAGAACTGACGCGATATTGGCCAATAAAGTTTAACGATCCTCTTTAATGAATATTGATTGTTAAGATTTAAATACTAATTATTATCTTAATTGTGAACAGTTTGTCACATATTTGGAATACAGAATTACGATATGTGTACCTGTGTGTATGTGTGTGTGTGTATGTAGGGGTTGAAAACAATAATTGTTTAGATTTAAATACTAATTTGTCTTAATTGTGAACAGTTTGTCACATATTTGGAATACAGAATTGCGATATGCGTACATGTGAGTATGTGTGTGTGTATGTGTGTATGTAGGGGTTGAAAACAATGGTATACACCGTTATGTTTATAGTATTATTCATGAATATAGGTAACGGTTGCCACTTTCTGTCAGGCGAAATGGGTCGCCAGCTTGTTAGTCATTCTAAGTGGCATAAAAAATATTGTAGTAAAGTCATGTAGTGTATGTAAGTTATATATGTATATACATTTAAATAAAAATAAGTTGGCAAATATACTGGTCGTCCACAGTTTGTTTGCCCTTGTAAGTTGCATAAAGGAAAAAAATGAAATTGCGGGGCAGTAAATTTTTTTTTAAATTTGGCACTTTGGCTGTGTTGTCAAATGACGACAGATCGAAGTGTTTATTCAAATTTATATTTTATTTTATATTTTAATTTTTTATTTTACATTACATCTCATCATTATCATATCAGCCTTTGACAGTTCATTGCTAAACGTAAGCCTCCCTCTTATTGCGGTTGCCAATCCTTCTAAAAAGCGTGGCAACTTTTTTTTATACAACTTAGAATGGCAAACAAGCTAACGGCCCACCTGATGGAAAGTGGGAACCGTCGCCTATAGACATGAGTAGTAAACATGGACATAACAGAGTATACTGTTCTGCCCATGATACCCCCCATGCGTTGCCATTCCTGAGGACTCAGGTGTTATTCCTCTGTACACAGTAAATTCACTACTGGTAAAACCTCTCCAAAGAGGAAGCTTATGTTCATCCGTGGACATTTATCGGCTGATATGATGACCAGAATCCAATGACTCTACCGTTATAACTTGAATTAATTTATTGTAAACGCCGTTAGCTTTTCTCATCACTAGACTGTTAATTGAAAATTTAAAATAACACATTTTTTTTTATATCAGCCAGATTCAAATTTAAGACCTTTGAGCTCTAATTGATGTTCCGTTAAGAAGAACAGAGTTGGCTAAGCAAGCTTTCCTCTCTCTTGCATTGAAATTACTGAATAATGTTTTGAGCTGATATCCGCAATTAGACGTGTTTCCCTCCAACTTGCTGAAGTTTTTTCAGATGATCACAGAATTTATGTTGAGAGAATTAAGATATAGATGTTATTTATTTACTAGAAGGAGATTTGGTACAAAAGTCGTTTCCTTGGGCACCTCTGTTCCATTCGTGTTTCTACCGTGAAGCAGTTGTGTTTGCATGGCTGTGTTTCGGTTTGAAGGGTGGGATATGGCAGAATTTACAGGGTACAGAGAAATAACACCTGAGTCCTCAGGAATGGCAACGCATGAAAGGTATCATAGGCGAAACAGTATACTCTGTTATGTCCATGGTACTGCTCATGTCTATAGGCGACGATTACCACTTTCTATCAGGTGGGCCGTCAGCTTGTTTACCATTCTAAGTTGTATAAATAAAACCATATTTCTATTATTGTTATGTTGTGATTTAAATCTAATTAATGTTATTCCATTTAATTAAACATATGTGTTATTGTATTGATTATTTCCTGAGTGAGCGTATTAGGAGAATGTAAAGCTTTTTTTAAGTATATTAAAATAAGTGTAGGAGTTTTAGTTTTTTTTTAATTTATTATTACATTCAAAGATGCTTTTACAACTAAATAACTCTCGCAATAAGCCGTTAAAACATCATCTCATATCAGTAAAACGGAGTTGTAAAAATTCTAAAGGGACGGCCCTTATCCGTCTAATAATATCTATAATAATATCCGTCTGTTTGTAATTACAACAGAGTGCTGCGTTTTGATCCATTAATAAACTTTGCCTATTAAAGCTACTAATCGTTTGATAACATTTGGTTTCCTTTCACATTTTAATTATGTCTTAGTGGCTAATGTAAAATGAACTTAATACAGTCTATTGAACCTACAGAATTGTACAAATAGTAAATCTTTATATCTTTCCATTGATATAATAATGAACAAAAAAAAAAAATACAAATTTAAAAAGGTAACTCCATTAATAGAAGGGGAAAAAGGGATTGTTAGTGATGGAGACTGAGAATCCCATTGCTAGCAATATACCCAACCAGGTCGACCTCCTCGCGGTTCTCCCTGGAAACTATCATGGTTAATTCCTGATGAATTCATCATGATGGGCTAACTGGCCTGTTTTCATTCTCATCTATCACCCTTCACTGGTGCTCCGCCAGCGTATCCCGTTAGCGCGGGCGGGGTTACCATACCATTTTCATCCATCAAAAAAAAACTCCATTAATTGAGGAAATTGTACAATATGAGATGGGGAAGGACATAGGACACATCGGAATCTACCTTTTTTATTTAGGACTAGCTGTTGCCCGCAACTTCGTCCGCGTTTCCGTCATTTTTCGTAAAATAAGTAGCCTATGTCCATCCTCACGGTTCAGTGGTTTTGATGTAACAGATACATTTCCCTTCACTGCTCTGCTCCTATTGTGGTAGCGTGATGAAAAGTATACTATAACCTGCCCAGGAGTATGAAGAATAATTGTACCAAGGTTCGTTAAAATCCGTCGAGTAGTTTTTGTTTTTATAACAAACGTACAGACAGACAGACAAAAATTTTACTGATTGCATTTTTGGCATCAGTATCTATCACTAATCACCCCCTGATAGTTATTTTGGAAATATATTTCATGTACAGAATTGACCTCTCTACAGATTTATTATAAGTATAGATTTTTTTTGTCGTTTATGGATCTATACTAGCTTTGATATTTTATGTTTTTTGTTTGCGTCTAGGACTTCATAAAAACGTTCTCTTAGGTAGAGGAATATTTCCGAAGCACAAAATAAAATAAAAAATATTAAATTACATAGAAACTCACCGATTAAGCTCGTCCAACGTCGTCCCGACATGTTTTGCTTGGGGTGCTCTGGTAAATACTGTAACAAGAGGGTTGGTTGATATTGAAATTGCTTATAAATTGGACTATTGGTCGTTACTATATTGATAAACTATTAAAGTATTAAAAATCAATTTTTCCATACTAGAAATATAAAACTTTTGCTTGCTAGATATCTAGAGTTGTTTTACTTTTATTTTCTAGAACGAAGAAAATATTTTACGTTGGTATAAGAAGTTGTTTATATGTTTATTTGTTATTTTTTCCTTTGCTGAAACACTTGCTTAGATTAGGTACACAGATGGCGCTATAGGTTATAGGTTCTTTACATGATATTTTTGTATATCATAAATCCTACTTAATATTATATTATAAATGCGAAAATTTGTAACGATGGATAGATATTTGTTACTCTTTCTCATAAATATTATTGAACGGATTTGATAGAACTTTGGTTTACAGATAGGTTATATCATAAATTAGTACTAACGGTATTTTATGTGGGGAGGAGAGACCAGAGGGAGACTTTGTGCAAAAGTCGATTGCTTGGGTACCTTTGTCCCATTCGTGTTTCTGTCGTGAAACAGTTGTGTTTGCATGGCTGTGTTTCGGTTTGAAGGGTGAATTTACAGGGTACAGAGGAATAACACCTGAGTCCTCAGGAATGGCAACGCATGGGGGGTATCATGGGTGGAACAGTATACTCTGTTATGTCCATGGTATTGCTCATGTCTATAGGAGACGGTTACCACTTTCCATCAGGTGGGCCGTCAGCTTGTTTGCCATTCTAAGTTGTATAAAAAAATGTATTGATTCACTCGGGCGAAGCTGCATGATACAGCCAGTATGTTATAAATATGAAAAAAAAATGTGTAAATATGATAGTAAGCTTATAATACGTAAAGATTTTCCTGTTCAAGTAGCGAGGCTCTTCTACTTCAGCAATCCACTTCAATGGAATATCTGTAGTTTATAAAGTACAATATTAAAAAAAAAATAACAAAGAAGCTATTCTTAACTGGGTCAGGATGCAGCTATTTATTTTTGCTTCACTTATTAAAGTAAACTGCTTCTCTATAAGAGACTTGGAATTACAACATTGTTTTGTAGGTTATTTTGCTGATACTACGGAAATGAGGTTTTATTACTTTTTTATTTATTTAATTTATAATAATATTTTAAGTATATGTGTTTAATTTCAAAAATTTAATAGGTAATAATATTAAAAGTGATAATAATTTAGTACTTTAGTTATCTTTATTTATTTATTAAAAAAAAGATCCAAGATTCACCTTCCTATATAAAAGTTACGGCCAAAAATGAATTGAATTAAAATTAAAAGAAATAAGTAATTATTGTGAAGTAATACATGAACGGAGTTGATTATTTGCCGTAAAAATGAAACTATGTACCAGAGAGAGACTTTGTACAAAAGTCGATTGCTTGGGTACCTCTGTCCCATTCGTGTTTCAACGGTAAAGCAGTTGTGTTTGTATGTTTCGGTTTGATGGGTGGGATATGGCGTGAATTTACTGGGTACGGAGGAATAACACCTGAGTCCTCAGGAATGGCAACGCATGGGGGGTATCATGGGCGAAACACTATACTCTGTTATGTCCATGGTACTGCTCATGTCTATAGGCGACGGTTACCACTTTTCATCAGGTGGGCCGTCAGCTAGTTTGCTATTCTGTTGTATAAAAAAAAGTGTATAGAAAAATCATAAATAGGTACATTTTGTTTGTACAATTTTTATTGGATGGTTAGAAATGAGTGTATAATTTGGTAAAAACGCTCCATTTTAATTTTTAAATTAAAAAATATGTATTCTAATTTTAAATTCAAATTCAAATCATCTTTATTCAAATAGACTTGTTTACAAGCACATTTTAAATCGTTATTTTTTAAATCTACTGCAGCGTTCACAAAGTTGTTATCTGTTGAGAAGAGTCCGCAAGAAACTCAACAGTTACGTTTAAATCTTGATTGATTAATATTGATATATTTATCATTAATTTAATTTTTAGGAATAACACCTGAGTCCTCAGGAATGGCAATGCATGGGGGGTATCATGGGCAAAACAGTATACTCTGTTATGTCCATGGTACTGCTCATGTTTATAGGCGACGGTTACCACTTTCCATCAGGTGGGCCGTCAGCTTGTTTGTCATTCTAAGTTGTATAAAAAAAATCAATTAGGTAGGTAAGGATAAAGGTATTATTATTATTGAGAGACGGACTTTTTCAGGCAGAAAAACCTGTGACACTGCGACCTTTCTACGATCTTTTGTGCTCGCCCTTTTTTAAATTCGCTGCTAATTTCTGTCAGTGATAGGAATTTTAAGATGTTCTTAGTAGCGATGTCTTTTGTCTTCTCAGTATTTAAAGTGTATTTTCCAAAGGAGATATATCGTTTATGTATAAGTAGGTACCTTAATACCTCTAGTATTAAGGTAGGTATATAGACAGATTAGGCAAGCAGTATACTAATATTGTAGCATAAAAATCCTCAAACTGCAAAGAATTCCAAACCGATGTCACATTCAAGATTACATTTATAGTACTTTTACAGTAACTGGTACATTTTTACTTTTGGCCACATTGATACAAATAAATACAGAAAAAAACCCTTTTATATATATTTTTTTTCTGTAGTGGCATAAATGATTCCTTTTTAAGCCTCTGAAAACTTGACAGGAATAATTTCCTTTGCGCGGTAAGTCGACCGTTTTACTTTGTAGCCACTGGTATTTGCACTCTTAGAAATATATGTATCAACCCTTCTCAAAATTGGTAAAATGTGTTTTATTGAAATATCGCCCCAAAAAAAGGAATAAGCTTCACAACCTTTTTTATGCAATTCGAACTAGTTATCATCGTTTATACATAGATATGAACAGTACCATGGGTATTATAATACTTATACAACCAGAGGGAGACCTGATAGCAATATTCTCTATATTGCTAGCAATGGTCTAGTTAGAACCCATTACTGACAATCCCTTTTCCCTCGACTAACAAGGTGTTATGCTCCAGTATCCTGTAACTTCATTGATACACCTCAATTTTTAAACCGAAACAATATGCAAGTACGGATGCTTTACTGAAGAAACACGAGCAGGACAGTTATTCAAGAGGGTATACAGTCGCCCCTTGATAATAAAATAAAAATTATTTGTCAAGACTTTTTTGGCTTCGGCTTTTTAGGGTATCCATTAACCATTTTCAAGTTTAATTAAAAAGCAGAGAAATCGACGCGGATCCAAACAGGAATATGAGTATAGTGGCAGAAAATTTTGGGATAGGATTACAGGATCAAGACAGTTGGAAGAGAAAATAAATTAATATAGTAAATGAATATATATTTATATTATATTGTTTAAGAAAAAGGTGTTAATAGCTCCTCTTTTTTAAGTCGGTATTTCACTAAAATTCATTTTGCTAATTTTGAGTTAGGTCAGTTATATATAATATTAATTTATTTAACGTGCTAGGATTAACTTTGATTAAAAACTAGCTTGCTGCTACAGTAACCGCTTACCATTAGGTGAGCCGTATACTTTTTTGCCACGTCTATGATATAAAAAAAGTATTTTTCCGTAAAAAAATACTAAAGTGAAATTTGTATAAAAATCCGTTGCATGCATTGTGGATCGCTAGGATCTACACCGATTAAAAGATTGCATTACATTTATATATCCGTAAAAAATCGTCATAAAAAATATTGATGCAAACCTGTTTTAAAAATAAGCGAAGAAACAAGTCCGCTTCTATTTGATACTATTTAAAAGATTATCTAACATTTGTAATATTAGAAAAAAAAATCAAACAAGTTTAAGTTTAATTATGTTTGGAAATAAGTAATAAATTACAACGTTCGTAGGTACTTGTAACTTCCATCAATATAGCCCGTCAACAGCATAGTTTAAATATTATGTTCTCAACTTTGTAATGTAGGTTTTATGTCTATTCCAATATTCAAGTCAATTTACGACTATAATTAAATCGTAGATAGGTACGTTCACTTCATTATTATTGGGCTTGTTATAAAACAAAGAAGCGTGCAATCTTTTATGGAAATGTAAACTGTAACGTTGTGTTTAAAACTTAAGAGTACCAAAGTTTGCTTGAGCACCTCTGTCCTGTGTTTCGGTTTGAAGGGTAGGCATATGGCAGTGAATTTACAGGTTACAGAGGAATAACACCCGAATCTACAAAATATGTTAATATTTATTAAAAAAAAAAAACAATTAATTTGCTCTTTTTAATCAAAGTGGCCATTATTCTTTTTCTTAGAAAAAAAAATACAATAATTAAAAAATTAAATTAAAATTATTGAAAAAAAGAACAACCTGTGTTTGTATAAATAAAATTACATAATAATATGTATGTATATAGCATAGCACTATATATTACTAGGCATCTACATGCCTTGTACCGTGAAGTGTTATTAATAAAGATACAGGTTGTTCTTTTATTTAAGAATTTTAATTTTTTTTTTAATAGGCAACAAGCCAGTCAAGTCAGTGATTTAGTCAAATCATCAAAAGGCTATTAACACAATTTTATTAGGTTTGCACTATAACATATAACATTTTGTTGTTTTTAATTTTGTTATTGATATATAACTGAAAAATATAAATATGTGAATCTAATTACTTCACCGTATGAGAATGTTACCTCTTTTTTTGCCTTTTTTATTTACTCCCTTATTATATTATAAAAACAACAATAATAGTTAAAATAGGACTGGAAACGGTTTATATCCAGAGCCAGGGGATTACAGATATCTTAAACCGCGGGATATCGTTAAGGTAGCACATAGGATCTATGATATGATGGCGTAAGACAGGGGGAGGCACAAATGGTCGACGTGCAACGGCTTAGCTGACCCCATATGCGAATATAAGATAAAATAGGTTTGTAGGTTTTACAAATCTACTACTACAACCAGAGGGAGACTTTGTATAAAAGTCGATTGCTTGGGTACCTCTGTCCCATTCGTGTTTCAACTGTGAAGCAGTTGTTTGCATGGCTGT